GTCTGAATCTACCCATTCCTCTTCCCCTTCCTCTCCAATTGCCTCTTCCATTCTTTTTTCTTCTATCTGGACATTCTCCAATAAAATGATCAATCTTTCCACAGCTATAACAAGCACCTGACATTCCTCGTCTTTGATATTCATCAGTTGAGATATCATACAAGTTAAGAGCAAACTTGGTTCACCCAAAACCTGATTAAACCCCCTTATCCCTGCTCAAAAGTGGCGTAAACCCTAATGATACCATAAGGTAGGGCACACTTAACTCACACCTCTTGCATTCAATTTCAAGTGTACAATATCTCCAGTCGTCTCCATCTTCTCTCATCATTTTCATCCAATATGGACTCGACTTTGGCCTTCTGAAGCTTATTGATACCAGTCCATTGATTTCCAAAGGTATATATTTTCTCATATTGTTAGAATTTGAAGCTTTTAGTTCAAGAACTGACTCTTGCACCTTTGACTTTTTGGATCTTGACTAGGTGTTTTTTTCAACTTGATTGCTTCATTGACATCACCAACCATCATGTGAACCAACAATCAATCGATTGTCTTATTTTGATCCTTTATCCTCAATTCACCGGACTTGGATTGAACATTTGATTAACTAAAGATTTGGGCAAATTCAAAAGAAAGACAAAACTGAATCGATCACGATGACTAACCATCAATATCTTCAACAACAGTTATAAGATGTAAGTGTATCTTACCAAGATTTACTAGAGCATGACTCTCATGTTTAAACAATTAATGACTCGATCCTTTTCATAATAGATACCATAGACAGGCAAAAATTAAAAATATCAGATCAGGACAAAAATCATCTAGAATCATTTCACATTAGAGAATGTTTTCAATGAGGTACAATTTATTCAACCATTGCTGTGGAAATAAAAATTTACTCGAGTCTTTTTGAAGACCTTTATATAGAACTTTTTTTTATTATTCTCTAAGGGGGCACTCTCAAACTCAGCTAAAAGGTGGCAAAGTCGCATTTTTTTGGTTTTTTTTCATTTCATTAATCCAAGCCAGTCCAGAAGGGGCAAAGCCCTGGCTACAAATAGGCCTTAGACTAAAAGCAAGCTAGACTAGAGTAAAAGAACACAAGGGGCTGGCTGAATGTGCTACAACGGAAACGATCGATTGGGGTCTTACAGCTGAAAGAACTAGATTAGACAGAAGAAGAAGGGGTAGTCAGCGTGGCAGAAGGTTACACAGAAGAAACGAAAAAAAAAGAAACCTACCAGATTGGGCGAGACCAATCGATCGATCTCGATGGAGGTGGGATGACTGAGTTAAATAGGGTGTGGAGGAGTGAAGTAGACGGTAGTGGCGAGGCAGTGGCGAGAACGGAAAGGGACTGGAAGTTCCAGTTGGTCCAAGGTGTTTCGCATCGGAACGATCTAAATCAATCAGCAGAAGATAAACGAAACAAGAAACGAAGTAGAGAAAGAAAAAAACAGAATAAGCAATCAATTCAGTTAGAAATCAGGAATCGGTTGGAAGAAAGGAGTGATAGAGACAAGAAACACTCACCAGTAGGTTCTTTTAGGGTTGGAATCGACTGCGAGGCGTTGGGTATAAAAGTGGGTTCTCGTTTGTCTTGTGTGAAGGAGGAAGTTATCGTACCGTAGAAAAAGTGAGAAAAGTTGTGTGTGAAGTTCTTTGTTTTATCGTTATCCAGAGATCGAATCGAAGTGCCTTTTTTTCTTTATCCTTGTTTTTAATTCTTTCCATTACTTCCTAGAGTAAGAAGTAGAAAGGTAGTAAGTAAGTAGAACACTAGAGTTCTATTGACTTGATAGTGGAAGATCGAGTAAGAAAACAAAAAAGAAAGAAGGAGGAGTTTGAATACTAGTCTTACCTTTATTCGACTATAAGGGTTATTGAAGAGTGTTATCGGTGATTTTTTGTTGGACCCTTATATTAGGAATTTCAAATTGGGATTATATTTTTTATTTTTTTTTATTTTTTAAGATCTCACTTAGCTATCCTAGGGTTTTGACCTAGGGTATTAAGGTGAATTACACCTTTACAAGTGTAATTCCTTGGGCTTTAAGGCTGTTAGGGTGTGTAGGGTAGCGTTGGAGTCTGTAGAACTTGGAGAACAAGGTTTTGGAGGATTTTCAAGCTTTTATTATTTTTTTTACTTGCTGCGGGAAGGCTCTTTTGGAGAACTGCATTGGGGAACGTAGTAAAAAACAGCTTGTTTACATCTGTTTTTGAACCGTAGGACCTTTCCGGGGATTCTTAAAGCTGAACTAAAGCTTGTAGATTGGATAATCAAGGTTGGAAAGTTCCTTTTGGTGGTAGAAAGATTGGCGAGAAGTGTCTCAGTGTATTTTTGAGGGCAGCTTAGCGGCGTTTTGGTTACGGCTCTTGGCGGTCTATCTGACTTGGGTTGTTTCTTCCCCTCAAGGCTCTGCCTACGCTCCACAGCGTAGGAGTTCTACATCTAGTGACTCCACTGGGGCATTTTTTTGGACAACTTTCACATCAAGCAGGAGCTCAATAGTTCAAGTAGTCTACACTGGCTCAAAAATCTCATTTTCGATCATCATCAAATTTCTCAAAACTCACTCTCAACTCTCTCAATACAACCAATCAACTCCATCAAAAATTCTTACTTGGATTCTCATCTTTCATCTTTCATTCTCTTTTATTCTTTACTTTTAGCAAGATGGATTCAGGCCTACTGTTAGGAGAAAAAGCGGCTAGCACGTCGGATGGGGAGGAGGGTCTTGGTGTGCCACCAACTGGGCATTACAAGAGGACCCCTAAGGTGCCAGCGGCAGAAGGAGCACCGGCGGCGGCACCAGCGGTGGATGAACTCTTTGGCGAGTATAGGGGAGCCGGCGAGGAGTCACCTTCCGATGGTGAAGGAAAGGAGGTGTGGGAGAAGCAGTTCCAGGAGAATCAGGCCATGATGAGGCGGATGGAACAGATGATGGCGGAGCAGTGGCAGAAGAGGGTCAAGGAGGGAGTGGACCAAGCAAGGAAGGAAGAACGGGAGAAGACGAAGGGTAAAAAGAAAAGGCGGGAGACGAGTGATGAAGAAAGTAGTGAAAGTAGCAGTCAGAGCAGCTCGGAGGAGAGTTCAGTGGAGAGTAGTGAAGATGAAGGAAGGAGTAGGCGGAAGAGCAGGAGGAAGAAGTCAAAGAAGAGTGTGAAGATTGCTCCTCAAGATCCTAATTTGAGGTTTAGTAGGGAAAAGGATGTCAAGAAATTCCTTAGGGATTTTGAAATTGCGGCCAAGGCACCTGTGGCACCTGCACCAAGTGACATGTAAGTCGACTGTACAGCATGTAATATGATGGACTGGAAGCCGGAGTTTGGCAGCAGTGCAGCCCAGATGATCTGGTGCGCTACTTTCTGATACCACAAGTCATTTTTTACAAGTCAAATCCCTGATTTTTTTTTTCCAGCAATACACAACATAGTATGCCCTCATATCTCACTTTGATTGCATTCAAAAATTCACCATGAGGTTGAAGACACAAGTCAGAGCACTCAGAGCACTCAGAGCGATCTGAGAGGCACTCAGAGCGATCTGAGAGGACCTCAGAGCGATCTGAGAGGCACTCAGAGCGCTCTGAAGACCTCTCAGATCGCTCTGAAGGCCTCTCCAGTTCTCCTGCTTCAACTTCCCTGTATGTAATAGCTCAGCGACCAGCTCAGCCTATCCTCACTTCCTCTCGTTGACTCTCACGTATCTCTCACAATGTAACAGTACACAGACTCAACTTTACTTATTCAATACGAATTCAATCGGAGAAGATTGGAGACCTGGAAATGAATTGTATTACCGATGCAAGTGCAAACTTCACAAGACCAGAAGATACAACCACAATACAACCCAATCCACAACATCAAACTTCAAAACCACTATACGGTACAATCCCTTTAAACTGGAGATGATTGATAAATTCATTTCTCAACTTCAAAATCGGTGAATCTGACTTTTATTCAATTTTTATTCAATGTCTCTTGTTGTATACCAGAGCCGATTCAAAATATTGTGAAGGAAATTTGTAAGACTCACGTTTACATGCTATTCATCTTATTCCATTCAAATATATTCGAGTGTTTGTACGTAGATATTAAATCAATCACACATCTCGTTTCATTTCAAAAGGTTTTATAAAAGTAGTATAACCAGCACATAAGATCTACAATCTGTAGAACGAAAAAATGAAAATAACTTGCGCTTCTCACTTTCGAAAAGTTGTAATAAGAGAAAGCAACACATGAAACCCACGGTCTGTAGAACAAAAAAAGGAAAATGACTTGTCCTTCTCATCTTCAAAAATTTGTAATAAAGCAAAACGAGCACATACAATCTACAATATGTAGAACAAGAACAAAAAAACGGAAATAGTGCAAACCACCTTTTAGTTGTCATCAAGGTTTATCCCTGCATATAAAACTACGCTGAGCCTTGGGAGTCTTCATCGGAGTCGGAGTCTTCATCTTTATTGAAGTCTTCGTCTTCATCAGAGTCTTCATCCTCATCATAGTCTTCAGCTTCATCAACCCTATGTTGATGTTTAGATCTTGAATTCCCTTTACCTTTAGCCAAATTTTTAAGTTCCCTTCTCATAGACCCATTTGTTTTTTTCTGAGTTTGTCGGTCTCGATTCACAATTGGATTCTTGCGGTGTTTTTTACGTTTATTTGATTGGTCTTGATCCAACCCAGAGTGGTGTTGTTGATCACGCTTTTTTGATCGATTTTGATTAGGGGAAGGTTCATCGTTGGAATTGATTTGTAATCGTTCGGAGTCTGGGATCGATTCAATAATGAATCTCTTGTTTTCGATGTCGTCCAGCCAGCACTTGACTACTGCATCCCTAGCTCCACAATGGCCTTTCTCCATATCCGATTTCTTGAGAAGGCTGCCTTCGCGTTGTACTATTCGGATTGGCCAACCCTTGCTCTTGATTTGGCATCTACCATAAAAGCAAAAAGTACACCCATGAAGAAGAAATCAGTGACCATTAGCAGGCTGTTGGATCACACAAACAACAGACAATTCAATTGACTGACCAACTAATTCATTCAAAATCCTGCCCAGTCTAGTTCTACGTTCATCACTCGGTTGCTGTACCTTGCTGCCTTCGATTACTTCAGCGGCTTTTTTTCCATTGACGTATGAAGAAAGACTTCCGGGTATCTTCATGTCGTCCGTGGCCCATTTCGCAAACAGCGTGTTATTTGAATAAGTTTGAATCCAACCTTCAATGTCACCGCAGCTGACAGCTGTAGCATAGTAGGTGATCTGGTAACGCTGACAGACAACTGAAAACTGTTCAAAGAGGTTAGCAACGGTGGTCATACAATAATTAAACATGGAAGAAGATCACACCATAAAGAATGAATAAAGAGAAAGAAAAGATGGCAGAGTAAGTAAAGAACAACAAGATCAAGTGTAAAGAGAAAAGAATGAGAAACAATCAGACTTACATCATGATGAGCTTTTTTCAAGGCCGCTAATGAGTTCTTTTGAAGTGTAGCGATTGATTGCGTCGGTTCAGGCTTTCCGTGACAGATGTGAAGCTTCTCCACATCCACGAGCCTCTTGAAAATAGGCTCATACTTTGATTTCTCAGCCTCGGTGAGTGGATGGACCTGAGGTGCAACTGTTGAGCCATCTATATGAGTAAAGGTGGGATTATCGTTGTCTTCAATATTGGAATTGTCATTTTCAGCAGGTAGATTTGATAGATCGGGTAGGTTGGCTAAAGCAAAGAAATACGGATTTTGAAATACGTCTTTTTCGTCATCGCTGAGGGCTTTCCAGAGATCTGCAACCTTGCGATTACGAGAGGCCCATCCAGTTGAGTCTGCTTTCTCGGGTACTGTGCGTTTTGATTAGTCAATCGCTACATAAAAAAACAAAAAGTAAATCTTGTAAATCACATACATGGTTCCTTTAAAGCCTCAACACCAAAAGCTAGGAATCGAATCCACGGATTGAAATGAGCTTTTTTAGATCCTTCACCCCTATATCACATCCGAAGAAATCCAAACAATGGCATAAGAACTCGAAGACATCTTTTGGATTGAAGTTGTAACATACACAAGGTTCCAGACCACCACCTCATGAAGACCTCCCATCAAAGCAGCCATGAGCATCTGCTTCTCGTAATTTAAGCGGATACTTTTGAACACCGCTCTAATCTCAGTTGGTGCCCTAGTTCCCTTTGGAGCTTGTTTTGCGTTTGCTTCACGGAGTCCAACCAAAGTCCACTAGTCGAGATGCTCGTGAAAGGTATCGAGGTCTAATCCTGGGAAGCGCGAGATAAAAGTCTTAGGTTGATTCAACTGTTGTTGTTTGTCATTGGTTGTTTGATCAGTGATATCTTGATTACGAGTCGTTTGCTCTTCAACACCGTTGTTTGAATTGGAGAGGTTACGTGTCACATCATCGTCATTCGTATTAGTGATGGTCTCATTGAGAGTACTGATATTGTTTGATGGGTTTGTCTTGGTACCTTGACGGAGGGACTTTGTGGTGGGGCGAGTTGCAGGTGCTTTGGGTGCTTTGCTGGCAGCCGTTCGTGTAGATCGGCTCGAGACTTGGTTAGATCGAGTGTTGCGAGTGTTTGCAGGCATTTTTCGAAAGACTGAGGAGGGGAAACTTGTATGTGGATTCTAAAAGTTGATGATACGTAAGGACAAGGCAAATTGTCGAATCAAAATTTGATGGAGGTTTCACTTTTGATTTAAAGATCAACTTGAATTAAAATTTGACGAGAACTATCTTTATGTACATACCTTGCTTTTCTCATTGTATTTAATTATGCATTTGATTTGAATCTGTCAAAGTGTCTGTATGTGACCTTTCCCAGCCTCAACGTGTCAGTTCATCTTGATTGACAGTCAACTTCTTTCATATACATAGTAAAATCATTTACCAATGAGTCAGGAAAGGTCAGGAAGCGGGGGAAGTAATGGCCAAGGTAATCGTAAAAAAGGTGAAAGAAGCAAAAAATGTGTTCAAAGCTTGGGTTTTTTTGTTGTAAAAGATTTGTAATATTCCTCTAGCGAAATAGATTCTGATTGTCCTCTTGAAATTTGTAAAAATGTAGATTGGTTCAGATTTGATTACAATTGTTGATTTGGAGATATTGAGGATCTCCTCAAAGCACTTGACAAGGGTCTTGATTATCTTGTTTACATTATTTTTATTTGATCAATATCAATCAATGATAATCGGTTATGAGGAGTCAATCAATGTATCAGTTAGATTTTGATAAGTGGATTCAAAAAAGCACCTTTCTATATATTTTTCAACCAGTGCCAACATACGAGATTCAGTAGGATTGAAATAAGATTGAGCTGTGTCTCTTGAAAATCAATAACAATTTCTTAATCTCTTAATATCAAGTGATTTGTTTGGAAGACTTTGCTGCAGAAGTTTATGTTGTGGCTGTTGTAGCCACATCTAATTCATTTGCTATAGTCTACAGCAGCGTGAATGCATGACCAAAGTTATGAAGAGAGATTAACATATGTATTCGAAGAAAAACTTGAAAGAAATAATGATCAAGCGGCATGAATGCATGACCAAAGTTATGAAGAGAGATTAAGATATGTATTCGAAGAAAAACTCGAAAGAAATAATGAACAGCTTGGTTTGTTTGATTTGATGATCAGAGGGTCATTGAAATGCTCTGTGTTGATTATTCATGTTGTTTTTACTTCTATTGATATCTTATATCTTATCATCTCTCTCCATTTCTTGCTAGGAAAACATTGATTAGTCTTCATTAAATCCAGATGCAAGTAATCTGGCAAGTACAACATACTTATTGGACTCATCTTTACATTTTCATCGCTTGATTTGATAGAAATAACACAATGGAAAAGCTTCCTATCTTATCCAACAATACATAATAGAGATATTTGGAATATTTCTGACTGATAACTTGCATAAAGATATTGTTAGACTCACTGTTTGAGTGGTATTAAAAACAATACAGAACATCCAAGGGAAAACAAAGGAGAGGATCTCTTAGATAATCCCGAAGTTTGGAAAGAAATGCCCAAAAGGTATTATGGTTCATAAAACCTGTCTATGAACCAGGTGTTTTTATTGTTATTGTTAGATAAAGATAAAGAAGGAAAAGAGAAAATACCTGACTTTGCTGGAAATTGGTGAGGAAATCCAAAGAAACAGATTGATTGTTTTAATTTCATAGTTTCATAGAGTGAGGAGTGTAAGAGGCCCTAGTAAATCCATTTGAAATATGACTTGTTTTCTATGAACTGAGGCTGAGTGAATGGGGAAAAACCCCCGAAGTAATCAGGTTATTTTCCAGTCTCCCCGTATTCCGCTATCTGTGTTGTCCAACTTTCGTTGTCCTCTGTACAAACTCAATTCATCCTACTACTACTCTTTCATACGCCGTCTGACATGGTATTACCTGGCGAAGCAATCAAAACTCGGTCCAAAAGAACCAAAGCCTCCAAACCACGCAATCAAGGTGCTGCTAGTCAGAGGCTCGCTGATGCTCAAAAGCGCGAGGAAGAAGCCGCAGAAGCTGCCCTATTGCGACTCCAGCAACCTCCACTTAATGCTGGAGAAGTGAACGCACAGCCAGTTGAACAGGAGCAGCCTCCAAGCCCCGACCGATACAAAGCGTTTCAAAGGGCTGACGAATTTGAAGCAGAGGACGATCCCCCCAATCCCCCTCCGGCTAATCGAAATGAATACTACAAAGGTTTCACATACCAGGAACGGATTTTGCAAGAAGCACCGTGTCTGTATCAGTGTTGCAAGTCGGTGTGCGCACACGAGAGACTTTCTGTAGAGGCGAGACAGAACCTACAAAACAGTTTTTGTATTCATGCTACAATCCCCCTTGTTAATGTGCTCAGACGGTGAGACTTTGAAACGTAGGAAGACTGATCTCACTTGTCTTACTTTTGTTTTGCACAACGGTTGTTCGCTAAGCACATATCTCCACCACATGTTGTTACAAAGGCATTCCACTTTCTCATCCGCCGTTGTGAAGAAGATACGTTTGAATTCAACAAGAGACCTCTGCCAAATGTTTCTAAGATCAATCTATTAATCCAGTGTACCCCTCGTAGTTCATTAGTGCCCTCGCTCTTGAATTCTTATGCGATACATTCCAACAAAACTGCATAAATAACCATGAATGTTGCTCGCCTATTCACCTGATCACATCATGGCAAGTGAGTCTCGGATTAACAGAGACATATGGTAGATTGGAAGGTATTCCACTATTACATTCACCGGTTTAAGATTTGTTCGAAACCAACAAGATCCCTCTGCCGCACGTTTCCAACATCAATCTATTAATTGATCAGTGCGCTCTCAAATTCTTATGAGATACATTCAACAAAACTGCATGAATAAAAGTTGGATGTCGCTCGCCTATTCACCTGATCACATCACGGCAAGTGAGCCTCGGATCAACAAAGACATATGGTAGATTGTTAAAAATACCGCAAAGCTTTGGTTTGCCCTGCCAACTCTCTTAAAGCACTTTGAGAAATGTTCACGGTGCTTCATTCTCAATACATATATACATCTTCCCGCCCGTATATCTCCCTTACAGTTCATCCCTGTGCTTGATAGAAGACTCCCAATTTCCCTAGGATTATCTATACATAAAATCGTATTGCTCTCCAACTTTTGATTGATCTATATTATCATATCTCACTATAAAACACTAGTCTTAATCCTTTCCAATATGATGTTGAACCCTTATAAAATCTCTCCAAATCACTCAAAGAGTGTCAAGATGTGGGCTTGTGCCATTCGTAAAAACAAGACTCTGGGGACTCTTTCAAAATTTGAGACGATCCGTGTTCATGTGAGTTTTTTTTAGATCAGATTGGTCCTGGATACCTACCACTTATTCTTGTTTCTCTTCTCCCTCAGTCTCTTGTCCGTAGACACCTTCGTGTATTAATGTGTTGAGAGTCGGAGGCATCACCAATCCCACCCTCTCTGTCGGAGCTTGAGAAAGACGGGTTACTTGAGCGCTTCCCAGTGGGATCCCAACTCCCTCACGGTTCATCCCGAACCCTAATCGAACATACAGACTTTGTGAAAACGGGTGGTCACATGAAGCCCACCGATTTCACCGAAGTCGAAAAAGATTTGATGCGATGGGGCATTCGACGCTTCTCCTTTGACTGGGAGAGTGACCTCGAGGATCGAGTAAACACCTTGGCCCGTGAAGTGTTCTGGAATTCCTTCTACCGGGCGATTCAATCTCGTTCTTATAAATTCACCATCAACCAACACTTGCTCAGACGCCAAATGATATTGCCAGTCCTTGAGATCCAATTCAAGCGCCATGCTTCGATGTACAAGCAGCAATGCCAAAACGAAGAGATTATGGTGTATCATCACATGCTAGCCGAGAAACAAAGGGTCAGCCAGCTTTACATCTTCATTGTTTTGTATCCTGTGATGCTGACGGAGTTTCAAAACAGGTTTTTGAAGAATATCGCGCCTACCTGATCAAGTCGGGTGTTGAGCCAAAGTTAACGTCCATCTTCCAACCGCGCAACTATTCGGTTATGGGCAATTGTTTCGAAGTCAAAGTCATTGCGGGGGTGTGCTTTGTCGACGAATTACACTTTCAAATACCTCGATGGTGGTCTGATAAAACAATTTCACTCATGGAACTCATTGAGTCACAGGTCCAATTTAATGCCAAATCCCGTCACGATTTTGCTGGACCCGCTCGTCCGGCTCGCAAGTACATACACACGGGTTCAGATGACTATGGGTTCATACCACGACACCTTCCTTCCGACATGTATAGCGATAAATTCAAAGGCTCTTTACTACCGGCCGAACTTGCTGCGCTCAAAATGAAGCCCTCGGTATTGCCGGACTTAGACCATATGTTATCAATCTTCCCGCCTGTCGAAAGTGGATGTTTTCGAACGGATCCTAACGATACTGAAATCCCCAACATTTACTATACCAGCGACGAAGGGGTGTCCTCTGATGAATTTGCGGAAAGCGACACCGAATCAGTCTCCAACACACCCGTTTCTGATAACGATCAACTCAACAATGCAGAGATTCCCCTCCGGGTTGAACTTGAAAGTTTAAAGGCTGAAGTTCATAGATCAAAAACCATATTTTCAGAGTTCCAGAAAGAACTACAAGAATCAATGCCTGCGCGCTTGGAAGACTTGAAAAAAGCGCAAGATGAAATCAACATGATCAACGCCAAAATTGATGTGTTACATGGTGTTGATCGTAATACAGTTGAAACTTCACCAAGTCTACTATATCTAGATGCGCAACAAGTAGAGTAATAATCATGACGTCCTCTTTATAATCATCACGCGATGTTGTTATGACCAACCTTAAAACCGAGCAGGTTTCCATTTAGGAATCCTTATCCCAAAATCTTGATTATCACCCCATATCTGTCTGTCCGTTACAAAATCAGAATATGTTCAATCCTTCTACTTGTTTTGTTGTACTGATGTGAATGTTATGTGTGGTTCAACACCTCCATAAGCTCCAAGAAATGTTGTTGATGTGGTAAAAACAACATCTCTATATCAAAAAATTTGGTACCGTCTTGATGTTTGAACAATGGAATGTGCTGTTTATATGTGACTCATCATGGTTTACATCGGTCCTTGTAAACTGGAGTTGTTAAATACTTCAAAAAATTCCTGAGATTCGACATAGATTTGAATATATAGCGCCTACAAACGCAAACTGAAAGTTGCTACAGTGGGTTTGATACACAAAAAATTGTGTGCCTGTGATTGATAGTTTGAAATACTATTGCATATGTTTGACTCAGACTTGAGTATATATTTTGGTCAAACTGAGCATGAAATAGCTCCCACAATATTGTGTTACTGATGTTTCAAAACTTTTCCTGAAAAAAGTGTTAATTTGATCCAAAATAAGAAGCAAGTCAAGTAGAAGTCAGACCACATAATTTTCAAATTTCATGGGTCTGATAGCTATGCGTGAAAGGTCAGGAAAAGTTTCAAAAATGTTCAATTGTACATTTGGATAGTACACAGTTGATGTCCCATACATGCATTATGCATTTCTGTGTTTTTTTGAAGTGATTTAGGAAATTGTGGTTCGATTGCGATGTTGATGTGGACGCGTGGTATCTTGGGAAATGCTTCTGCACCTATTTCCGATGGGAAAACCCTCACAGCAACAGCAATTTGGTGAGAACGAATCTTATTGAAAGAGGTGGTACGCCTGGCGGTATCCGAAACTTATGTTCTACATGATACCCTGGCTAATGCGACACAGTCTGACTAGGCCAAACCTTAGGTATTGATCAAATAGTAGGAACAAAGGGTAAGAAAGTCAAATGGTGTTTGGGGTATGCTTCTGTAGAATGTGTTAGGAGGTTGGAAATCGCGGTGGAAGGGTCCAAGTAGCACACAACTGGTAGATGACCCCAGTCCCTGCATCGTTGACTCGGATGTAGGGTTGTGCCCGGTTTGGTGGTGCGAGCGCACCGTTTACCGCTCAAACCAAACAATATGGTGAAGGTGGAGTCCTTGGAGGGTTTCATAACCTCAATGGTATTGACGTTATAAAACCTCCCACTTATTGTCAAGTGGGAATTTATCTTTTCTGTTTCTTTAACACTGTATATATCTTCTTTGCCACCCTCTTTTTAAAAATCTTCATTAAAAATTGCTCTCGATTCAAGTTCAGATTTGTGTATATATTCAAGATGAGTTCTCAAATTACTGGTACACAAATTACTCCCGGTCCGTCAAATAGTTCTGGCAAGAAGCGAAGGCTTGACGAAGAAACTCAAACAGAAGATGGTATGTGCTCATTGATCATGTTTGTTTACGTATTTGGTGTTGGAGATCTAATGGTAGCTTATCTATATCCTTATGTACATAGATCAAAACAATCCCCCTGCGCACACGGATTCAGATGATGAGGAAAGCTCTGGTGGGTCCTGATTGTCTGAAACCGCATTGCCTGCTCATGATCTTACTAATTGGGATCTACTTTGGTACCAGATGGCGACCTTACACAACAAGATCTCCTGGATCGTAAAAGAAAGAGAGCCGCAAAGTTGAAAGTTTCTGCTGAGATTAGACACCGGGATGAAGGAATTGGGAAGATAGCGGGGGCCCACTTGGTGCCGAAAGCGGCGACACCTCTGGCAAGGGCTATCCAGGAATTCACTCGCATGCTAATGGGCATTCCGCGCAAATCAAGGGGCACTTCAGCTTTGGAAAATGCTGGAGTTCCAAAACTTCCTGACCCTCCGTCCGACGAGGAGCGCAACGCCTGGCTTAATCGAAAGCAAGTTCGAGAAACTTATATCCGCGAATCACAGGACAAAGCAATGGAACAATACATTAAAAAGAAAGGCCCTGATTTCAAACCGAACCGAAAACAAAAGAAGGCAATTGAAAAGGATGCAGCAGAAATGGCAGCTCTCAAAAAACCAATGCAGCCGGTCATCTTCAAATCACGCATGTTATCAAATGCTCGAACAAGATATCCTCATCACTTCATATCTCAATGTGAAGCAACTTTAGCTATGGCGGGTTTTCCCAGGTGCACCTTTGACTGGGGCGCACCATACGATTCTCCTTGGAACTCTGCAACCTGTACAATCATCTTATCTCATTGGGTCAAAGCCTACGAAGCGAACGGAGCAAAAGATTTCGGTATCCTTGTCAAGGATAATACCGCTGCAAACCGCGAAGAAGTCTCCGACGCTGGTGTGCCAACAAGGATGCGGGATATCGTGAACAGACTCGGAATTGCGAATTGATGAAGACTCCAGCGGGTCAGAAGACCCTCGAAGAAAAGATTGTCAAGACTCAATCAATCACAAACAAGAGACTCAACAAAACAAAGGTTGGTCTAATCATTCTGCTTGTGATCCAGATCAAAAGCATAAGCTCATGTGGATATGATTTGTAGATTTACGAAGCAAGGTTGGCTAATGCTGCCAGATTGTTTGGCCAAGACTTGGCCGAGTTTGAAATGTTGTCTCATCATGACATCCATTCTGATGATGAACTCGTGACAACAAACTCTTGCGGCTCTCGTCAGAAGTTGCGACTCGAATGGCGGAGTTCCGAGCTGGATACTCTCATTAGTCTGCTTGACCAGGCCCATTGGAAGCGTAAAAGGATTCCAAAAGATATCAGACATGCGAAACAACTGGTCGAAAGGGGTGTATACGCCCCCACCCCTGATAAAGATCGGTTCCCTCCAAAAGGGTTTCAACTATCTCTCATTTCGCCGGGCTGGTATGACCTCCAAGACGGATTGACGTTAGAGGAATTGGAATTGAATGAGAATCACCCTGTCAACATCAGAAACGCTATTCAAGATGTGATGAGGTCTTTCAGTTCTTGGGATAGTTTAGCTGCCGAAGAAGCAGCGCAAAGTGAGTCAAGATCCATGGTAGGTTGATGTTCTCAACTGCCCGTTATCAAACATTACACTGGAGTTGAAGGTGTATCAACATTATAAACTTGTGATCTTTAAGATATTATGAGATGCTGGGGAGATCTTTTCCTGTGATCATGTATATAACAATCATGCTGTCGAATTTTGTATGGTATTCTGTGAATCAGTGAGGTTAAATGGTTTGTGAAAATGTAAATAGTGTAAATAGGTGTGAATATGTGTTGATAGAAGCGTACCCTACACCACAGTGGGGTTTGATACCCTGTTTGATCATTCCAAAACAAATTTGAACAGTCTCAGTACCACTGCCACCTCCTCAACTGATACGTACAGAACGTCACTTGAGACGTGGTGAACTGTTGTAGAACTTATAACCCAACAAGGGTTATACAGAGCTGGAAGAGGATAATCTACTAATAAAATGACTAGTAGAAGTTGTCTAAGGACTGCTCTTCTAAAACAACACAATCAGAAAGAGCTCTGTTGTATTGAGTACTGATAAGGCACCAGAGAAATATAACTTCACACATAATTTTAACTTCAAAAGCACACTTTGTATTACTATCAACACTGCTATAGTGTTATTCCCAATTGATAACTGAAAAAAAATAAGCAATATCTGATTGATATTATTCCCAATAAGTCTTTATGACTATAAAACTAAAGTAAATTTCTCTTTATAACTGTAATAAAGGGCGTATTTAAGTGAACAGGTACTATTAAAATAAGTTTATGATGATAAACAAAATAATAATGGCGTAAATGATAAAGAAAAAAAGGGG